CCACGAACCGTGTGAAGGGTGCGCCGGAATGGGGGTGGAACTGCATGCGAACTTTGCCACTCGGGCCCTCGGTGGAACTCCCTATGGGGCCACGAAACGTATGAAGGGTGCGCCGAAATGGGGGTGGAACTGCGTGCGAACTTTGCCACTGGGGCCTTCCGTGGAGCTCCCTATGGGGCCACGAACCGTGTGAGGGGTGCGCCGAAATGGGGGTGGAACTGCATGCGAACTTTGCCACTGGGGCCTTCGGTGGATCTCCCCATGGGGCCACGAACCGTATGAAGGGTGCGCCGAAATGGAGGTGGAACTGCGTGTGAACTTTGCCACCAAAACCTTCGGTGGAGCTCCCTATGGGGCCACGAACCGTGTGAGGGGTGCGCGGAAATGGGAGTGGAACTGCATGCGAACTTTGCCATTGTGGCCCTTGGTGGAGCTCCATATGGGGCCACGAACTGTGTGAAAGGTGCGCCGCAATGGGAGTGGAACTGCATGCGAACTTTGCCATTGAGGCCTGCAACAAAGCTCCCTATGGGGCCACGAACTGTGTGAGGGGTGCGCCGACATGAGGGTGGAACTGCATGCGAACTTTGCCACTCGGGCCTGCGGTGGAACTCCCCATGGGGCCACGAACCGTGTGAGGGGTGCGCTGAAACCAGGGTGGAACTGCGTGCGAACTTTGCCGCTGGGACCTTCGGTGGAACTCCCTATGGGGCACGAACCGTTTCAGGGGTGCCCCGAAATGGGGGTGGAACTGCATGCGAACTTTGCCACTGGGGCCTTCGGTGGATCTCCCTATGGGGCCACGAACCGTGTGAGGGGTGCGCCGAAATGGGGGTGGAACTGCATGCGAACTTTACCACTGGGGCCTTCCGTGGAACTCCCTATGGGGCGATGAACCGTGTGAGGGGTGCGCCGAAATGGGGGTGGAACTGCATGCGAACTTTGCCACTGGGGCCTTCGGTGGATCTCCCTATGGGGCCACGAACCGTATGAAGGGTGCGCCGAAATGGGGGTGGAGCTGCGTGTGAAATTTGCCACCAAAGCCTTCGGTGGAGCTCCCTATGGGGCCACGAACCGTGTGAGGGATGCGCCGAAATGGGGGTGGAACTGCATGCGAACTTTGCCATTGTGGCCCTCGGTGGAGCTCCCCATGAGGCCACGAAACGTGTGAGGGGTGCGCCGCAATGGGGGTGGAACTGCATGCGAACTTTGCCGCTGGAGCCTTCCGTGGAGCTCCCTATGGGGCCACGAACTGTGTGGGGTGCGCCGAAATGGGGGTGGAACTGCATGCGAACTTTGCCACTCGGGCCTTCGGTGGAGCTCCCTATGGGGCCACTAACCGTGTGAGGGGTGTGCCGAAACAGAGGCATGCAAGGGGGGGGGGAGGCAGCGGGAGGAGAAGGAAGGAAGGAGGACGCGGGCGCTGTCTCTTCAAGACGAGGACCCAACACCACAGGATGGTTGGGAATTGTGGGGTACATCAATGTTGTACTGAATCCCCTACAATCGGCCCGTATCAGAAGGATGCGCGATAAGGATGCAAGAACCCTGGACGCCTATTTCTAAGCTTCGAGCGGGGTGCGGCCAACGAAAGTGGCGAAGGATGGACCGAGGAGGCAAGAATGCAAGGGCACCCTTGGGAAACTCGCCCATCCTTACTTTGCGGGTTGACTGTACCACAAAATTGACTTCCTCGTCACGGATGGCGTTTGTAGATCTACGAAAATCATATAATTCTTGCATACTCGGCGGGAAGTTCAATTTTTGGGTAAACGATTTTGTAGTCCATCCTCTGCAATTGGCCCGTACCAGAAGGATGCGCGATAAGCACGCCGGGAAGAGGGGTCGAGGAGGAGGGGAAGGGGGGGAGGCAGAGGGACATGGAGAACAGGCAAGCATGAACGTTCGGAGGTCCGCGCGGATTGCTTGGGTCGGTGCTGGGACCCCCTCACTGGCGCGCGGAGCGCCCTTCGGCGCCGGAGGCGCCGCCAGGGGGGGCCCAGCGCCGATCCAAGAGATCTACGCGGAGCTCCGCAGGTCCTACCTTTTGGACACCCGACATGGGTACCGAAAGAGTGGGCACAATGCCCAACAACAATTGTTGTCCCAAACCAACAGCGGCCGTTGTTGGGCAGGCGGCCTTCTGTCTCGAATGGACACAGGCCGCGGCGGCGTGGACAGCGAAGCCTGTTCAAAATGAACAGGAACTGCTGTTGGGCATCGTACCCATTCGTTCCGTGCCCATTTCGGGCGTCCAAATACCTGCCCTTTCGGGCGTGAGTGGTTGAGAGCGCTTCACGTTCCAACCTTTCCTCTTCTTCCCCTTCAGGGAGGGGTTCGCCACTGTCCCTTATCAATAAACACCCCCTGCCCCAGACGACCGGCAGACCCTATGCTCACCCCCCCCTCGCCACCCCTGTCAAACATTTGTACAGAACACACTCTGCCTCCAAATTCGGAGCATGCGCAACCAACCCGATGCGCCCCCCCCCACCATCCGTGTCAGAAAGACAATGCAGAATCCACATTGGGGCAAAGTCTTGAGTCATGTTTGTGAGGCTCGCGAGCACTTCTGAGGCTCGCGGGCACAAAGACGGCAGGGATGTCAGCGTATTGCCTGCTGTGCGCAGGGCTACCACCCCCCTCAAAAACAATACAGACTGCAACTCGCGGCTAAATCTGGATCACTGCCAAATGGTTTTTAACAGGGACGGCGGGGGTTGTGGCGTACGGCCTGCTGAGCGCAGGCTTACCAAACACAATGACTGGCGCTGGTTTCGACAAGGATGGTGGGGGCCGATATGTTTAAAGATGTGTGCTCACGTGCGGAGGCGCACCTAACACAATCTGTACGTGGCCCGAACGTGGCGCACCTGGCCCGTCTGGAGTATGCGGCACACCCGGCGCACGTGGAGCACGTGGCCCATCTGGCGCACCAGGCGTGCCTGGCACGCTCGGGCCCCAGCGGTGCCTGGCGCGCGTGGCGCGCCTGGCACGCGTGGCGCACCTCGCCCCAGCATCGCGCACATGGGGTCGGTTCTTGTTCCCAATACAGTGAAGGCCCGACCACAAAAAACCTTCCGCAAGAAACCCAACCCTGAGACCCCAGGACGTCCATCGATCTTTGGTGTGGGAACGTCACGCTTTCCATAGCAAAACCATCGAAACCCAAGAAACCCAGGGTACCCTGGAGGCAAGCAGGGTGTTTCTTGTCATGGGTCTCCACTGTAGATGCCCATCCAAAGAGGACCGCTGAACATGCTGCTGCTCGGGTGTTGCGCATGCGTTGGGAGGGCGGGTGCGAGCGAGCTGGACGGCTTGCTATCGAGGCGGGTGTCCTGACCCTTCCCCCTACTCCTCTCCCTAGGACTCCCAACTTCGCGCTTCGCGCTGCGCGAAGCGCGAAGCGCGAATAACTTCGCGCTCTCGCGCCGCCCTCCCAAAGGGAGAATAGGAGGACGAGGAGGAGGGGGGAGAAGGAACGAGGACCGCGAAGCGCGAAGCGCGAATAACTTCGCGCCCTCGAGGGAGCCCTTGAAATCGGCCTCGGTGAGAAGGTCAAAAACATTCATTTATGAAGGTTTGGGCCACAATCTGGTTTACCGGGAGGGGGGCCTCATGCTCTGCAGCCCTCCCGTGATCGATCTCACCCAGGATGGCCCCAGAGACTCCCAAGGGTGCCCCTAGACGGCCCCAAGAAGTGCCCAAAAGGCCCCCCAAAGGCCCCCAAGATGCACCCAAGAAGCTCCCAAAAGGCTCCCAAGAGACCCCAAGAGAACCCCCAAAGGCACCCAAGACGCCACACCAGGCCTCGGCGAGAAGACTCAAATCATTGATGTTCTTACACGAAGGTGTTGGCCACATTCTGGCCTCCTGGGGGGCCCTAAATAAGGAGCCTCAGGAGGCTCCACGGATGCGTCCAAGACGACCAAAGAGGCTTCGGCAAGAAGGCCCAAACCACTGATTTCGCCAAGGTTTCGGCCACATGTTGGCCCTACGGGGCGGGGGCTCCGAGCAAGGAGCCCCCTCCTTTGATCGGTGTCCTCCAAGATGGCCCCCAAACGGCCGGCCCCGGAGGCTCCCGATGGTGCCCCAAGACGGCCCCAAGAGGTGCCCAGGAGGCCCCAAGAGGCCCTCGAGGGGCCCGCAAGAGGCTCCCCAAAGGCTCTCAAGAGACCCACGAGAGGCCGCAAGAGACACCCCAAAGGCACCCAAGACGCCCCGAGAGGCCCCGGCGGGAAGTTGTGGATGTGACTGTTTTGGCCACCTTGTGGCCTGGGGGGGGGGAGTACTGTACTACGCCCCGCCTTTGATCGATCACCTCCAAGGTGGCCCCGAGATGGCCCCCGAGGTTCCCAAGGGTGCCCCCTAGACGGCCCCAAGAAGTGCCCAGGAGGCCCAAGAGGCCCCCAAGAGGCCTCCAAGAGGCTCCATCTATACCCCCAAGAGCCCCCTCAAATACCCTCAGTAGGCCCCAAAAGGCCCCCCATTGGTAGCCAAGACGCCCCAAGAGGACCCTGGGATTGCCAAGAGACCCCCAAGACACCCCAAGAGAACTCCAAAAAACTCTCGGAAGAAACCCGAAGAAACTCAGAGAGACATCCAAGGTTCGTCTGGTCTTTCTGCTCGCCCTCCTCCTCCTCGTCCCCTTCCTCATCTGCCTACTCCTCCTTTCTCCTCCTCCTCCTCCTTCTCCTCCTCATCATCATCCTCCTCCTCCTCCTGCTGCTCCCCCCTGCTCCCTCGATTCCTCCTTCATCTTCCCCTTCGTGGAGTGTGACGTCTTACTTCGCCCATTATTGCATTACATGCTCCTCCAAACCCCTGATCAGGGCAACGCATCTGGGCATCGTTTCTGGATGGGCTGGTGGGGTTACGCGAAGCGTCGAGAACGTATGTTTATGCAGGTCACTCTTCCTCGACAGGTGCCTGGTGGCTGCCCAGGCGGTGGCAAGAGGAGACCTGGCCCTCTGCGCCAAGGCAGGGACAAGAAATCCCGCGGATCCTTCAGCGACACGTCGTGGCCCTTGCCCTTCCCGCTCTGGAGACAAACTTTGTTCGCTATACCGAAGCAGGTCCTCCTCCTCGCTCCGCCTCGCTCCTCCTCGTTCCTCGCTCCGCCTCGCTCCTCCTCGTTCCTCCTCGTTCCCCCTCCTCCTCCTCCACGCTCCTCCTCCTCCTCCACGCTCCGCCTCCTCCCACCCCCTCCCTCGCTCCTCCACCTCCTCCGTCTCCTCCTGCCCCTCCTCCTCCCCCTCCTCCGCCGCCTCCACCTCCGCCTCCTCCTGCGCCTCCTCCTCCTCCTCCTCCCTCTCCTCCTCCCTCTCCTCCCCCAATCGCGACAGCGCTGGCTTCACGCGGGCGGGATCAGACACAGGGTGGTGGTATGCGAAGCATGCTATCGCTGGCTGCACATCATTCGCATCATACGCGTCGGTCCTAAAACGCACCATGGACACGGTGTGCCTTGCAACCGACATACGTAACCATCCAACCACACCAAGTGCTCGGTATTGCTCGCGTCAGGAACATCAGCGGTTCGACACCGTTGACCCCGCACGCGAGTCAACACTAAGGGTGGAGCAACCAGGCGCAAGCACTTGACGCTCATGCTAACACCAGCCCCATCCCCAGCCGACGGCAGTCGACTCGTACTTTCTATGGGTCGCATCCCCACCCATGTGTATTCACTTTCACTTTTTCAAAACAGGACCAGCTTCACTGAGCATCACTGGGCTCACTTAATTCACTGTCCCCCCTGCCCGCCCCGCCTACCCCTCCTCTCACTCCTCTCTGCCCTACCTACCACCGCCGAACCCGACATATCACCCATCCCAAACATTCCCCACCGCCGCCCCCAGCTCTCGCTCCATCCCCGCATGCATCTCATCGTCGTCATCCCCCTTCTCCGCCTCCATCTCGTCAGGCTCATCCACCCTCCTCCGTCTGTCTGCCTCCTTCTCCCCATCGATGATTGTCTCATAGCCACTATCTTCCATCATGCTCCTCCTCCTCCTCCTCCTCCTGGTCATCCTGCTCATCCTCATCCTCATCCTCATCCTCATCCTCATCATCAGCAGCAGCGTCATCATCAGCAGCAACAGCATCACCACCATTATCACTATCGTCATCGTCATCGTCATCGTAATTACCATCGTGATCGTCAGCATACGCATCGGCATCCTCAGCATCATCGTCATCATCATCACCACCACCACCATCACCAGCATCAGTATCCTCAGCAGCAACATCACCACCATCATCAGCATGATCACAACCACAAGCATCATAATCGTTCCCATCGCCATCATCATCATCATCATCATCATCATCAGCAGCATCATCAGTATCATCGGCTTTATCATCAGCATCACCATCACCATCATCATATTCATCATTCTCAACATCATCATACGCATCAACATCACCAACATCAAGATCATGTTCATCATCGTCATCGTCATCATAGTCGTCACCGACCTGATCATAATCATGATCAACATCACAATCACCATCACAATAATCAACATCATCAACAACATCTCTCTCATCGACACCATTACAAGCATCGCCAGTACCGTCACCATCACCAGCAACACTACCATCATCACCAGCATCATCACCGTCATCATCATCAGCATCAGCATCACCATCATCACCATGGCCATCAGCATCCTCATCATCTTCAGCATCCTCCTCATCATTATCATGATCTACATCATGGTAATCCTTCTCATCCTTAAGCATAACCATCCCGTCCACAACCATCATAACCGCCATCATCACCAACATCTTCATCACTATCATCATCAGCATCATCATCACCCCTATGGACAGTTCGTCCTCCTCCCCTCCTGTCTCGTCCTCCGACGCCCCTCATCGCATCTACGCCTCCCCATCCCAGTTCCCTATCCTCAGTCGTTTCTCATCTCCTTGGCAGAGCTCAAGAGGCATCCGTTTCGGACGTGCCGATCACTCGGCAGAGGGCGACCGTCTCAGCAGCAGAAACCAGTACAGGGCACGCGCAGAAATCGGGGATCTTCTGACCCTGGTCAATCCAGACCCGGGTCAGCAGGAAACAACATTTGCAATGCAGGAAAAAAAAACTGCAACGCAGGTCCTCGCAAACCCGGGTCAGCCAATAGGCGCGGCCGCCTCGCGGCCACGAACGGCTCGCTAACCCGGGTCAGCCAGAGGGGGTCTTCGCAGGATCCTGCAGGATCCGGTGCCGTGGCTGAACCCTGTTTGCATTGACCCCCGTCTCAAGGCTCCCGAAGAAACCTGTTCCATGCGCAGCCGGTGGCTCCCATAGCCACTCCTGCCCGCGAAGACCCCGAACTCCAATGGTCCACGCGGCGGCCGCGCAAGCCCCTTGGCTCACACCACCATCTGTTTGGATGATGATGAGGAGGAGGAGGAGGAGGAGGAGGAGGGGGAGGAGGAGGGAGGAGGTGGGGAGGAGGGGGGGGAGAAGGAGGAGGGGGAGGAGGAGGAGGAGGAGGAGGAGGAGGAGGAGGACGAGGAGGAGGAGGAGGTGAAAGAGGAGGAGCAGGATGAGGAGGAGGAGGAGAACCAGGAGGAGGAGGAGGAGGAGGAGCAGGAGGAAGAGGAGGACGAGGAGGAGGAAAAGAAGGAGTCTTGTACACATAGGTCGGTAGGAACCCGCTCATGGCCACGTGCTTCGGCGGTCCGTCGTTAGATCAGCCAGGCCATCAGCTACTCGAGTCTGAACGCGCGGGAACCATCGAACAGGGTCCTGGTAGAGTCCATGGGACTTCCGCCCATTGCGCATGTGATTCAATACTCTGTCCAGCACGCGATTAAACAACGGCTCGGCTTCCAGGGCCGGTTCCTCCTGCCCATACTTCCCCCTCATCATCGCCATGGTCGTCGTCCCCCTTCGTCCCCTTCCTCCTTCTCATCCCTCATCCATCGTCAGCGTTCTCCACGTCCTTCTCTTCCTCTTCAGACGACGCTTCCTCCTTTTCCTTCTCCTCCTCCTCCTCCTTCTCCTCCTCCCGCTCCCCCTCCTCCTCCTCTCTTTCCTCCTCCCACCTCTTCTCCTTCTCCTCCTCCTACTCCTTCTCCTCCTCCTACTCATCGTCCCTCCCTTCTCCACCCTCCCTCATTCCCCATCCCTGGGCTTATCCCACATTCCCCAGACTCACTCGAGTAGCTAAGACCTACTGCCAGCCGATCAGGAGGGACAAGGGAGGCCGAGTGAGGGGGGGCAAGGGGCGGGTGGATGGATGAGGAGATCGAGGAGGTGGGGAAGGAGGAGGGGATGGAGGAGGAGATCGAGGAGGTGGGGATGGAAGAGGAGGTGGGGAAAGAGGAGGGGGAGCACTGGTAGCCTGATGGGGTGCAGGGAAGACGAGGGAAGAGATGGAGGAGACGCTGGAGGAAACGCTGGAGGAGGAGGAGGAGGAGGAGGAGGAGGAGGACGAGGAGGAGGAGGAGGAGGAGGAGGAGGAGGAGAGGAGAGGAGAAAGAGGAGAAGGAGGAGGGGGAGGAGGACGAGGCGGAGGAGAAGGAGAAGGAGGAGGACGAGGAGAAGGATCATGAGGAAGAGGAGGCGGAAGAGCAGGAGGAGGAGCAGGAGGAGGAGAAGGAGAAGGAGGAGGAGGAGGAAGAGAAGCTGGATGCGGGCCTGGACGATCAACACGAAGGGAAGGGAGGAGGGAGCGTGGCGAGGAAGGGAAGACAGGGGAAGGGCAGCCGAGGAGGAGCGGGAAAAAAAGGCCCGGGAGAGAGAGGACCGCGAGGGAGGAACCGCGAGGGAAGGCGGACCCCGCTCCGCACGCTGCCCCTCAGCTCAAAGCGGCCAAGCAGAGGCGCAGAAGCGAGGGGGACCGTCAGGGGGGGGGGGGGGGCGGCAGAGGGGGCGCCCCTGCCGCCCTGGGCATCGGCGACCCAGCGCCGACGGATCGGCGGCAGGCCCCCGGACAGCGAGAGCGCGGGCTCTGGGGCGGAGCGGGACGCCGGGCCCCCATCGGCGAGCAGGTGGGCGCTTGGGAGCCGACGCGCCCCCCTTCCCGAACCTGTCCTCCCCGAAGGTCGCCCCCCGACCCGAAATGGGCTTCGGGCCATAGGCGGGGCCTCAGGCGGCCGTTCGGGACGAACTACGTAGGCACCCCAGGACCGCTCTCGGCGAGGCGCAGCCGACGGAAGCCGCCCCTGGGACCCGAGGACTTCCGAAGAATTCAAGGCACGTTCGACAACTCTCTTCCTCCACCTCCTCCTCCTCCTCCTCCACCTCCTCCTGCTCCTCCTCCTCCTCCTCCTCCTCCTCCTCCCTCCTCCCCCCCTCCCTCCCTCCCCCTCCCTCCCCCCCTCCCCCTCCTCCTTCTCCTCCCCCTCCTCCTCCACCTTCTCATCCTTCTCCTCCTCCTCCTCCTCCTCCTCCTCCTCCTCCTCCTCCTCCTCCTCCTCCTACCCCCACCCTCAGCTTCGCCCCCGAGGAAGGGCGCTCTCCTGGAGGGCCCAGTCCACCGCCTGGCTGAAGCCGCTGGCCGCATGGGCGGGCCGGCCCGAGGCGTCGCCGCGAGTGTCCTCGGAGGCTCGGCGGCGCGCCGGCCGAGGGGGAACTTGTCGGCTCTGCGGAGCGCCAGCTCTGCCCCTGCCTGTGTAGATACAGTCGTGGCTGATTGGAGAGGGCACGCGAAAGGGCTCACGACCCCTGCGGGGGCCGCACTGCCCCAGGTGTGTGCAGAAGGCATGGGTCGCAAAGCTCGGGACACAGAGTGCACCCCTGATCTGGCAGGGCCGACCTGCGAATCAGTCTCGCCTGTGCAGTCGCGGTTGCTCGGAGAGGGCACGCGAGAGGACGCAAGACACCTCCGAGGGCCAACCGCCGAGTCGTTCTCACGACCGCCTCCGAAAAACGGCTCTCCCCGCTCTGCCACGTCTCCTCCGCCCATCCTTATCGACTTCTCTCCTCCTCCTCCTCCTCCTCCTCCGTAGCCATTTTGGGTCAAGTTGCCATTGTCTCAAGGCAGCTGGCCAGGTCAGCAATTTCCCAGACCAGCCTCCCAGGAGGCCACTCAGTTTCTTTCGCGCTCACACAGATAGCAGCCATGTCGTCCCGCTCTCCATGGGTATTCAATCCTTGGGTTCAAAAGCCGCAGCAGGACAATACATACATCGTGTGCCCCCTGAAGCGTCCAGGTTGTTGGATATGGAGCGTCCGGCTGTCTTCTCAACCTACATGCAAGTGCGGGCGCCCGTGGAAGAGCCCAGAAGGTCACCTCGCGCCGCCAACTCCTCCAAGGGCAGTCCCGCCCTCTCCCCATGCAAGTGAGGAAGAATCCATTGGAGTAGAATCTCCACGTCTGGAGCGAAAGATACCGCATAGGAAAAAGTCGACTTCCCGCAGCTATTCAGAATCAGACAGTCGTCACTCCCCGAAGTATGAGTCCGATTCTGAAGATTCAACATCCAAGCAGTCAGAGCCCAAGGCAAAATCTAGTCGCAGAAAGAGCAAACCGTCCCCCAGTCGGCACCGTTCGCGCGCGAAGCAGGTTAAGGACAGAACCATTCGTAAGCCGAGAAGGACAATGAATCGAAGAAGTCAAAGAGGGAGAAGGCTAGGAGGCCGTCAGATCACAGAATGCCCGTGCTCCAATCGGAGCGCAAGCGCAAGGACTCTAGCTCAGAGCCCGAAGCCCATCCAGAGGTAACCAGCGAAGGCGATCGTTCGGTATCCAGAATGGAAGAACTCAAGCAGAATTTTCAGGAGGCTCGCATCAAATCGTTGGCAGAGCAGCTCGACAATGCTAGGGACGAGATCAAGAGGCTCAAGCAGACCAGGGGCTTGGAAGATCCAGCCCAGAACAGCAAGTCGGCAGATACAGCAAAATGAGGGCGGTCAATGCCTAACATTGCAAGTAGTGAGCACGTTTGGGGAAATGACCTCAGGCTACGGAGCACATCAGCTTGGCTAGAAGCCCATCTGGCGTGAGCTATCAATGGTTACGGCATGTCCTTCTCAATGCGGTCGTATCTGCGCTTTTGATGTGGACTTTTCCATGTCTAATATCACTTCTAAACCACCTTGTTGGCAACACTGAAACAATTCGCTAGCATACAATCGAATCAGGCACACTCAGCCAAGCATGGCTTCCCTCAGCTCACCGTCATCATCGTGACGGCCGCAGGCGCTAGAACGCGCAGCGGATAGCCATTATTCTCAATGTTTGTCCAGGCCCCTCGACTTGTGCAAGCACTAGGATGTGCAGTTTCAAGTCAGTTCAGGGACCATTCATATTTCTGTGAGGGTGAGCAATGCAGCGTCGTGTGCATAATTTCCTAACAAATGTGGCACAAGTCATCTTGTAGGCCAGCAGGCAGGCAAGCGAAGTCTTGCAGCCTGAATCCTTCCAGTCCTCCCTCCTCCTCAACAGCTGCAGCCGAGGTTGGCACCCAAGGGAGGGTGCGCAGGCAATCTCCCTCCTCTGGCTTGTCCTGCCATGGCTTAGCCCATGCAAGAAAGTCCAAACCTGCATGCAGGTTGGCGTCCAGGGGTCGGTTAGGCTGGGATTGGGAGGAAGTGGGGTGGACTTGGGAAGGTTTCTCAATTAGGGGCCCAGTAGAAGCACTGGACAACGCCCCTTTTAACCCTAGATGGGTAGTCTCTTCCCTTCCTTCGCTCTCTCCTCCCTCCCTCTCTCCCTCCTGGGGCGGGCCCGTTTGAGCCGAATGGGATGGCAACGCTTCGGCACTGTCCGAGGGTCGGTTGCTGACCCTGCTGTCTCTGATCGTTCCCCTGAAGCGAATGTCAAAAAAAGATGTCCTCCTCCTCCTCCTCCTCCACCTCATCCTCCTCCTCCTCCTCCTCCTCCTCCTCCTCCCCCATGCCAACATCAATTTCGCTGCTTGCTCAGGAAGAGAATCTGGCCGTACAATGTGGACAACTCATCAGCTGGCAACATTAGAGCAACTATAACGAGGATGAGCATGATGACAAAAGCACGGACGGATATGGATGCCGGAGCGGGAAGATGCGGGAGAGGCACGAATGGCAGGGGCGAGAAACTTGTGGGAATATTCTTGGGACCGTCTGGGACAAGTTATCCTCGCGGCTTGGTACCTCTCACAGAGAGGAATCAGAGCCCGAGCGGCGATCTCCAACGAGGCTCCAAGCTCCGCCACGGTACCAAGCGGCGACATCGAAACACGTCGCTGCCACCTTTCTGGCTAAAGGGCGCTGGCGGGGAAGAGGAGGGAGGCGGGGATAAGCGTTGAGTCGAGGAGAATTGGCGCTGAGAGAGTTGGCTGCCAAATTTAATCAAAAAGGCAGCAGGTTGGGCGGATGAGGAAAATATGGAGGGGGGAGGGGGACTAGAACGAGGAAGAAAGGGGAGAGGAAGGATGAGAAGGGGGTGGTGACGGGGAGGAAGACGAGGAGGGAACGGACGAGAAGGGCGCGAGTGAGAAAGGAGAGTGGCTACGACTACATTGACGAGGACGCAGCGGCGTGAGCGGCCGTGGGCAAACGACGCAAACATGAGAACACGATCTCCTTCGAGAGAAGATCCCGGCTCAGGACCATCTCGTTCGTCAGGGTGGTCTTCTTGCTCGCCTCCTTCCCGCAGAGGTTGGGGCATGACGAAAATGATGATGTGGACACCAAAATCACATGGAGCGCAATCGAAAACATGATTTGGTCCCGTTCGCTTCCGTGAACGACGCGGGAGGGACAGGGCGAGGGGAGACGCCGTGCGAACGAACACGCCACTCGGGAGGACCGACCCCGACGCGCTCCACGGCGCGTCGGCGGCCAAAGAAGCCGGAACCGAAACGGAAGCGCACAGAACAATGCAGGGGGACCACCTCGCAGGTTTGACTACCTACCAGACCACCCCAACCCAACCCGAAGACCCGAATTTCGGGTTGGGGGGGGTATGGGCTCCATCTGTGCTTTTTCGATGTTCCCGGACCCCCCCCCACTAGAAATCGAGGGTAAATCTGAGCCTTCGGGTTGGGTTGGGGTGGTTTGGTGGGTGGTGAAGGTTGGGTTGGAAACACATCCTTGAGCGGTGCTGGGTGGTCCGCAGAGCGGGCGGCCTCTCGGGCCTCCCCGGCGGCGGCCTCGCGAGCACCCGGCCTCTGCAGGCTTCTGGCCCCCGGACCTTCAAGCCACAGGGCGGCAACCGGCGATACCGATGGGTTGACTGCAATGGGGGGAGGAGGAGGAGGAGGAGGAGGAGGAGGAGGAGGAGGAGGAGGAGGAGGAGGACGAGGAGGAGGAGGATCAGGAGGAGGCGGAGAAGGAGGAGGCGGAGGAGGAAGAGGAGGAGGAGGCGGAGGAAGAGGAAAGGGACCCCGAGATCGGGGCGCGCTGCGATCTTCCTCACGCAGGGCGTCTCCGCCCGCTCCCGGGCCCTGGGAGGCCAGGCTCCGCACAGGACGGTGCACGATGCTGCAGCGTTCGTCGCGCCTCGGGGCCTCAGGGTAGCAGGAGCCAGAAAAAGCACACAAAGGAATTTCACACAAAGGGTTTTGGCACCACCAACGGTGCAACGCATGTGCATACATGCCACTGGATCCCCACCGATCCGAACCAGGGTTGATGCACGGCCGTGCACTAGGATGCAGATGACATTTATGGCGTGGCAAGGCTGTCGGCGGCGACAAAATTCTAATATCCGCTACCAACAAACATCCCCTCCCAGAGGGACCGACCGCCCCGGCATTCCTATAGTCCTACCACGAAATGTTCGTAGGACCCAAGCATGTTCTAAGAACAGAAGCCATGTTCTCAGAACATGAGCCCGAGGTGTTAGAACAAGACGCACTCCGCCAGGCATGTTCTAAGGACAGCTCGTGGAAACCACAAGAGGCTCTTAGGACATGGCTTGGCAGGGCTATAGGCGAGCCAGGGCGCTTCGCCACTGCTTGACCAGGGCAGGGGCAGGGGCCCGGCAGGCACGGCACCGGACTGCATCCCACCACTCCCACCAGAAACCCGACACCGAGCCTGCGCCCCCGCGGGCCTCGCGGCAGCCTCGCTGCTGGGGGGGGGGGATTCGGGGCGGGCGGGGGAGGGGCAGAGGGAGGCGGGCGCGGGGGGGAGCGCAGGGAGCGAGCCGCCACTGCGGGCAGTCGTCCGGGCCGGGCTCGGACCGGCTGGGAGAGGCCATGGCCTCCTGGAAAAGACATCTGTGCAGCGCGACTGGCAGACGAGCAACAAAGTGAGACACAGGGAGGGAGGCGGGAGCGGATGCGGGCGGCATGCCCTCGTGACTCGGTCGCGACCTGTCATGCACTGCGGGTGCAGTGGTGCTCGAGTGCGAGTAATTATGTCTTGCGCCCGTTGAGCCCAGGGAGGAACAAGCGAACGATCAAGGACGACTTCACAGCAGAAAAATAACCCTGCTCCCCTGCCTGGGATTCGCGACGGGCTCAATTGTGGTTGGTTCGCCTCGGGGAATCGTCCCCGAGAAAGCCTTGGTGGCAGATTGGGGCCGTGCTATCCCCTCCCCATCCTCCTCGACCTGCTCCTCCTCCTCCTCCCCCTCCTCGACCATGCTCCTCGTCTCCTACTCCTCCACGGTTTTCCCCCTCCCACCTCTTCCCCTTCTCTTCCCCGTCGTGGCGGTCCTTCTCCAAGGAGGTCGTCGCCTTTTTTCGCGTCGTCCCCCTGCGCCTGCCCCATGGATTTCCTCCTCCTCCTCCTCCTCCGCTCTCTCCGGATCCACAGGTGTCTCCTACTCCTCGCCCTCCTGTCCCTCGCAGCCATCGCCTCGTACGTGATCGACAGCTTGGCCTCGTCCAGATTGGGGTTCTTGACCAACTGAGGGAAGAGGGGAGAGAGGAGGAGATGAGAGGAGGAGGATGAGGAGGAGAGAGGAGATGGAGGAGGAGAAGGAGGAGGAGGAGGAGGAGGAGGAGGAGATAAGAGGTGGAGGAGGAGGAGGAGGAGGAGGAGGAGGAGGAGATCAAGATCAAGATCAGCTCGGGGGGTCCCTGCAATCCTCTCACTATACACTGCTGCGTGCTGTGCTCTGAGGATGCTGTACCCTGAGAGGGAGCCTCGCATATACACATCTGCCTGCAAACTCCATTCGAAACTGTGCAGCGACTGTCGCACACTGCACAAGACAGCACTGGCCGATCGGGACCCCTAAGAGGCACGCAGCCCCGTGCGGGGCCCGACACCGAAGCACAGAGGATCAAGTCTCCTGCCTCCCACGACCACGACGGCTCCCACGACCAGTCCCCCCGCCACGTCCGTTCCCCTGGCCTCGGCCTCGGCTACGCTGCAACTCAAACACAGGCACCTCTGGCAGCAGTGCGCTCGCATGTCCGATCGAGTGCCTCACGCTACTCTGTTCGAGCACATCTGCTGGCACGATGCCCCGTGCAATCAGTGATGCCAATCTGGCGCTACTCTGCATCTGCTCTCTACTACTGCTACTCATGCCTCCTGCTCTAACGATCTCCACAAGTCCCGCTCCAAAGGCCCCCTCGGGGCGGCTCCCATGAGCGGCACTCCTCCCTCCGACTTGATCAGCTGCTCCAGCATCGGGCCCACGGTGGACCCGAGGCTGACCCCGCTGTCGTACTTCAAAACGACCGTGGCCTTCTGGCTCTCCCCCTCCTTTTTCTTCTGGAGCCTCACCTTGAAGAAGCTGATCGCCCTGTTGAGATCCGCCTGTGAGATATTGTGAAGCTTGGACTGCCAAACCTCGTGCATGTTCTCCTTCAATGTCATCAGCTCCTTCTTCTTGGCCTCTGTGTCGCACTCTGGGATCGTCTTCGTCGCCCCGTAGTGACAGACCGCCAGCAGGATCGACAAGTGCGGGGGGCCGCGGATCTTGTGATTCACATTCTCGCCCTGCGATACCTTCGTGCGCATCTGCTTGGACTCTTCGTCGTACGCCTTGCCCGCGGCCGCTGCCGCGGCCACGAAGCCCTGTCCTGCCTCTACCTCGAAGCGCAGGTACACCGATGCGCTGAGGTCGGCGGTCTCCCTCGAGTTGTTGAGCACCAGGCGCACCAGAGGGTTCCACATCTTGGTGCCGCCTGCCTTGCCCTTGCCTGCGCCCTTCTCCTTCTTGGCCTGCTTGGCCTTGTTCTGTTCGGTAACGGGTTGAGCGGTGCTCGAAGCCGGGAGGCCCTTGAACCAGGACGGAGGAGGTGCGGTCGCCTCTGCTTCCATCGCGGACGGAGGCATCTGGAAGGGCACGGGGCTGGAATGGTTGCAAAGGCGAAGGAAGGTGTTCGACCAAGTGGCGACAGAGAGCGAGTGTGTCGGAGCCTTCGTATTCGCAGAGAGGGCAAGCATATGAGGATGGTGTCTGCAATGTAGCCAGGGAATGTGGACCCCTAGTAACACAATGTCCCCGATACAGCGAGCTCACCAGGTGCCTAGAAGCCGTAATACGTGTGGCGAAAACCTGGTGGCAGTGAATGCAGATGTTGGTGGGAGTTAGAATATGCAGTAAACTCCGTAGATGATGATGATGACGAATATGCTCAAGTAAACCCTTGCGCGAGGCATATGCACAGCCGCACACGACCCCCTCCTTGGCCAGCCCACAGACATAGGGTAGTTCAACATTAGGATAGTCTTGTACATCTTGTGGACCTCCTCCCATGGTTTTGTGAACCTCCTCCCATGGCGGAATCTGGACCGAGAAATTGGCCTGCCTAAGCTCGGTAAAGTCAATAATCGTGAATTCCTCAGAGGCGTCTGGGTCCAGCAGCAAGCGGAGGTCCTCAGAAACCCTACGTACACCCTCATATGGGAGACGCGTGCTGGCTATATCTAGATCTGCCGTCACCTGGCGAGTCCAAGGCGAGGCCCACTGAGTAGGCCGTCCTGCAATGATCTGAGGTTTGAAGCGATCAATTTCCGTATTCCCGAACAGAGCACATAACACTTGACCGTGATCCCCAGGAGAGCGGCTCCACCCTTGGTACATTTTTAGCCTGCGGATGAGCAACTCCGTCTCCGAGGGGACAAGACGCAGCTTTGCGAGGACTTGCTTATTGCTGAGAGTCTTAACGTGCGGACCGTCATGATCAGCTGCTGCCCCCATCATCACGACCCTCCCCATTCGAGCCAGGCAACTATCAAGAATATCCGTAAGGAGGAGAGAGGACGAAGGCAGAGCCTCTCTGGCTCTCGCCAGCTCTCCCCCGCTCCGACCTCCCGCTGCGCGGACCTTGGAGGCGTGCTGCAGCGGATTTCTGCGTGGACTTCTGCCCGAAGTGGCGAGCGAAAAACAAAGCGAATTCCGCGTAGGTTCTTTTTCGTCTTCATCCCTGGCCCAAGCAAATCCGCACGAAATGCACCGCGAAAGCCGGAACGAAATTGTCCAGGACGCTCCGGGCCCATCCTTTCGCTTTCCAAACGACATCCGCTCTGCGATTTTGGCGCCATGAGACCTTTGTTCGGTCGATTGTATTAGGTGCTGGCAAGACCTGGGGGGGTCAACTTGTCGCGCACTCATGCCCGTGCTTCGTCGCGTGCCAGATGGCAGGAGGAAGAATGGATGGCGAGATGGCGGGACGGAAAGAGGACAATAAAAGGGACGAGCGAGGAAGGAAAGGGAAAGCCATGTGGGAAGAGGTAAGAGATCACAACTGGCGGAGAACAGAGACGATCTCTAGTACCGCCTGAAAAGTCTACATAATTCCCTGACACACACCTAGCACAATCAGACGCCCCCCCTCCGCCGAAAACCCTCCTCACCCCATCCCACATGTTATGAATAGCTCCTCCCTGTCGCACCCGTAATCGTGTCGGTGGGGCGGGCCGGGAGTCTCGCCTGCGATAAAAACGCTGCACCAGCGCCGAGCACATTCGCCTTCAAAGCTTGCAGCAGCTTCAAGGACGGAGGGCGGTTCTTGTGCAAACTGCGGTCATCGCCTTAGCGCCGAGCGCATGGTTTGAAATGTTTGCACCTATTTCTACGAGTCGCATACTCGAAGGTCCAAATAATAGAGTCCTGGCCGGATTTGAGGGTTGTCAGGGCGCATGTGATGTTGATTCGTGGCGTTGAATTCCCAGGCACGGCGTTCTGGCACGAGTCAGGATCGCCAAGGCGCAGCAGTCACGTTGATTCCCGACGCTGAAGTCCCAGCACTGGTGGTTTGGCACGATTGGGGATTCTCAAACAGTTGTCTTCCAATGGGGCATTTCCCGCAAGGAGCAGAAATTATCGTAGGGCCCTATGACGTGGGAACTTGGACGCCTGGTTTAACCGAGTACCCCAGATAATAAAACATACCCCCAACGTGTGGCAGGCATGTGGGAATTTCAGCTTCCCCAAGTCAGAACGTGTAGCAGAGCTGTAGACCCCGCCAGAGCGAGCAGGGCATGGTTATACAATACTACTTCTCAGATTTCGTGCGCCTCCGACCCCTCGAAGGAGGCCCCACCAGAGCGAGCATCATATTGCTATACCATACTGAAACATCGTACACACGAGTCGCCTGGAGAAACATGTATCATCCCCACTGAAACCCGAACTTTATGATACACACCCTGTGATCATCAGGGGAATCGGATTCTGTTGCAACATCGTTGCTGCGTCTTGGGTTTTCGCTGGTCCCTTGTCCCCCCTCCTCACTCCTCCTCCTCGATCCTCCACGAGGAGGGGCAGGAGGCATTGTCAGCCTGCCCTCGGCTGCACTAGAGCTCCTGACCAGCTGGCGGCAGGCGGCAGGCGAGGCGAACGGAGGCGGCGCGCGTCCCCGAGCTCTCCGGGGCAAGGCGCACCGCCTCCCGGCCCCAAAGGGATGAGGGGGCGGAGAGGACGAGGGGGTACAACTCATCTCGACTGCGCCAGCGGAACGCTACGGTTAGGCCGGGCAGGTCCTCCTACAGGCGGGTTTTGGACGAGGGGTAAGAATAGTGCATGTATAAGAACAGCCAAACAGAATCGAGACATGGTCCCCAGACGATTTGTTTGACTGTTTTTGAACATTCCTCCTGTAGAGGGACATACCCAACTCGACTCAACGCTACAACCGCGGCGCTCAAGTTCGTCCAATGTAAAGATCAAGGGGGTCTGACCCGAGCCAATCTAGCACCGGGAAAGTCAGGCCTTGCAGGATACTGGAAGATCCTGCATGATCCTGCAAAATCCTGCGCCCGAGCCAGGGTCAATGCACCCCTTGCTCCGCAGGATCCTCCAACATCCGGCGCTCTGGCTGACCCCCGTTTCCACTGTCCCCCCCCTCTTGGGTCGGCTACACGCAAGAGTGACCCTGGGTAAGAGTGACCTCTGGCGCGCGGCTTTTCGGGGGCCGCGGGGAGACCAAACCTGGGCGCGCAAGCCGCTGCTGCCGCTCCGTCTTCGGCCATCTGAGGGCCCGTCTGTGCCCGCACCAGAGGTCGCTCCGGCGAAAGGTCACTCTTGCGTCTAGTCGATTGAGCCCCGAGCGGAGGCGGGACACCGGAACCCGGGCCGGCCTGCCTCCCGAGGGTGAGGCGCGTCCCAACGGGACCGGCCACGGGCGAGGCGCTATGCCACGGGGCGAGGGCGTGCCCGCCGAGCGGCGGCTCCCGTCTCCCGCGGCCGCCGCGGCGGGGGGGGCAGCGCGCCGAAGACGCAGCGGGGTGGGGCCCCGGAGGCGTGCCAGCCCACCGCACCAGGGGCGGAGGGAGGAGTGCGGAGTCCGCTGGCCGCTGGCCATCGCTCGGACGTCCATTCCCTGTGTTTTTTGTCGGTTGCGTGCGTGGTTTTTTCGCCAAATGATCAAGGATGCTCCTCGATGGTCCTCGCCGAAGGAAAAATGCACACGTCCGAGCGTCCGAGCGATGCCAAGGCACCAGGGACGGAGGGAGGAGTGCGGAGGTACCCACACCTCTGCCCCCCCGCCCGTTTTCTCCCCTGGGTGGGCCTCCTGGGAGGGCCTCGTCGCCACCGCTGGGCTCGCCTTAAAAGCCTGATCAGGGCGCGTGACCCCGGGAGAGGTCCGGGGGTCAGCGGTGATCATCGGTACCTCTTAGCTTCCCCAGGGAGGGCGGGAGGGGGGAAAGGGGCACGAGGAGGAGCCAAGCCGCCAACAGGCCCACACGGGGAGGAGGAGGAGGGGGAAAATGGCGGCGGGCCCAGGGGGACGAGGGGGACGAGGGGACGGGGGAGTGACAGGAGGGGCGGAGGGACAGCATGGGACAGGCGCTGGGGGGCGAGGCCCGACGAACCTGCAGGGATGGACCAGCCGAGCGCTCGAGAGCCCCGAGCGATAAGGCGCATGGACGGGCGGGCTCCGCGCGCGCTGCCGCACGGCGCGAGGCCTGCCCGTGAGGGCGAGGAGGGGCGGGAGGACGAGCTAGGGCTCCCAACTTCGCGCTTCGCGCTGCGCGAAGCGCGAAGCGCGAATAACTTCGCGCTCTCGCGCCGCCCTCCCAAAGGGAGAATAGGAGGACGAGGAGGAGGGGGAGAAGGAACGAGGACCGCGAAGCGCGAAGCGCGAATAACTTCGCGCCCTCGAGGGAGCCCTTGACGAGGGGGGATGCCAGGGCGCCAGGCTGACGCGAGGTCCAGGCAGAGAGGACAACCGGCCGCCAGCGACGACGACGACGACGACGACGACGAGACGCCCGCCTCCCCCTCCCTCTGCTCCCTCTCGCCCCCTCCCCTCGCCCTCCCGCCCTTCCAGATGTCGGCGCGCAGACCAGAAGACATCTCCCTCTCCTCTTCTGATGCGGCATGCTAGGGTCAGGTCGGGCATGTCCCCCTACAGGCGGATTTTGGGCGAAGAAAAAACATTGTCAAACATTGGTCCCAAAAAGTGGAAGAGTAATCGAAACATCGCCCCCAAGACTAGTTCTTGGTTATTTTTGAATGCTTCTCCCGTAGAGGGACAGGTCAGACTTAACGTCAGGGGGAGGACCTGCACTCAAACAGTCAACCAGAGAATCCAGCAACACATGGCGACAAGCGCCAGCGCTGCAATCGATCAGAGCTCACTCTGCGACACTGACGCGCCAGGCGCGAAGAGCCGCGCAAAGCAGCACTACGCCCCCAGCGCCCAGGCCTCGTACGCTCAGCGCACGCTGTTCTTTGGAAGCTCACCCAGTGGGTGCCAGCATTCACTGAGGTGACCGGCCTAGGGGGGTGGGGCGGGAAAAAAAACAATGTGGGAAAAACACACACACAAACACTGGGAAAACACCTAGGGTTCCCAACTTCGCGCTTCGCGCTGCGCGAAGCGCGAATAACTTCGCGCTCTCGCGCCGCCCTCCCAAAGGGAGAATAGGAGGACGAGGAGGAGGGGGAGAAGGAACGAGGACCGCGAAGCGCGAAGCGCGAATAACTTCGCGCCCTCGAGGGAGCCCTTGACACACACGCTGTGTGCTTTTTCCCCACGGGAGGAACCCTCGAGCTCGACTCCGCGCTCTGCACCGCCGACAGACTGCGTCGACGGGCCCCCGGGCCGAGAGAGTGCACACACGCTCCTGGGAGGGGGCGAGCTGCCGGGCCCCCTTCTCGTCGAGGCGTGGGCGACCGGGGGTGGATGCTGCCCCCTCCCGAGCCCGAGCGCCCTGACGTTGCCCCTGATCTTCGCGCCCCCTCCTCCCACCTCGCCATGTGTTGTTCCTCAGGGCTGAACCCAAACGGTGTTTTTCGTTTTCGCTTTGTTTTCGTTTTCCCTCGTTTCGTCTTCGATCCACCTCTACCGCAAAACGAAGTCGAAACGAAAACGGCCCACGAGATCGCCAAAACACCGTTTAGGTCGAGCCCTGTTGTTCCCATCCTACTTGAGGACCGCATCCCAGAAATACGTTCGAGCACCTGGAAAAGTGTCAGAAGAGTGTCGAAGCAGTGTCGGGCGAGTGTCTCCCAGGGCCCGACACGTGAACTCCCTCGAGTTTCGGTATTTTTTCGGCGCTCGAAATTCGTCCTGGTGGTCAAGGCTAAAGGTAGCTCGCCGTCACGCTCCCGTCCCTCCGAATGCATGCAGGCGCGCGCAGCAGAAGAGGCGACGTCCGACCTCTATCGAGGGGCAACAAGGTGCGGCAACCGCAGAGGACATGGAGGAGGGTTGAAGGGACAAGAGGTATCCATTCAACTCGCAGGGCTTCCCTGACAATGCGCGCCGACGGCGCGCTGGAAAAGTAAATACTGATCAGAGCGCCGCTGGACCACATCCACCCTGTGCCCGACCGTGCCGTTTGTCGAGCCGCCGCCGTCGCCCCCGTATGGATGGAGGGAGGTGGGATGACAGGGAGGGAAGGGAGAGAAAGGAGGAGGAGGAGAGGTGAAGCGAGGCAGAGGAACAGGAGCAAGAGATAGAGAGAAGACGAGGAGGGGCGCAGGAATGAGAGGAGAGCGTTGAAAGACGAAGGAGGAAGGAGGGATGAGGAGTAGGACGAAGAAGAACAAGAGAGGAAGGACGATGACCATGAGGAACAGCATCAGCAGGAAGGCACAGATGGGAGAGGGGAGGGTACTAAGGGAGGAGAAGGAGGTGAACGAGAAACAGAAGCAGAGAGGACGCTGAGGAGGACGACGAAGAGCGACGAGGACCGACGACGATAAACACGAGAACGAGAAGAGAGAGTCATCGGAGCGAGCCGGCCGGCGGCAACGCTGGGGCCACAAAGTAGTAGTTGTGGTCCCAGACGGCTCTCTTGGCGCTGCCTCTTGCCTGGCTCTGCCGCTGCGCTGACG